TATAATCTTGTCTTTTGCTTGTCTGTGTTGAAGATTGCACCTTCCTGGTATCTGGGCATCCACACTTCTTCTTGAAGTAAGCGTCAGTGAGGTGTTTGGGATTTTCACGTTGCTGATATCAATCTTTGAAGAGGTGGCAATAACAAATTTCTGGTGTGTTCTCCACAGAGGAACTTGATTGAGGGAAAGAAGTCCCATCACAAATAGCAAGCCACTACTCAGGTGCTTCAGGAAAACCACTCTGGCCTCTGTGGCGCCCAGTGAGGATGATCAAGATGGTCCAGGAGTGGTGCTGGCTCCCAGTCTCCCACATGCTGACTGGGGGTTTCTTGTGGTGGCTCAACAGCTTACGTGGCACATCTTCAGTCAGGTAGTATCTAGGCATTTTGGGAAGCTTAACCACCCTGGAACCACGGTTCTTGTCACCACTGACTGGTAGCAAGAACCTTCTCCTTTTCAGCCTTGGACTTAGCAGCTGAGTACTTCCTCTCATACGTGGGCTTTCAGGAATACACAGCAGACCTGGAGTATGTGCCAATTCCTCCCAGGACTGGGTTTCGGCTGCAGAGGAGCTTCCCTTTCTTGGGTTTCTCGTCTGTAGGTTCTCCCTTTTTAACCTTGCCAACAGCATCAGCCTTCTGGGCTCCATATTTCTTCTCCTTAGTGTCTGGCTTCTCAACCTTTTCACATACCATCTTACAAGATGGGAAAGAGCCCTTCTCTTGAATAAAATATTTTATTTCCTTTTCTGTCTTAAACTCTGCTGTATTCTCTTAGTGGCTACTTTATTAGGAGCCACATCTTCAAAATGTAACTATTCTCAAGTGATATCAACACCACTCAGGTATACAATAAACATCTGTATTCCATTTTCTCTTTTCTCCCCCTATAGCTTAATTGAGGTAAAATTGAAGTACAGTAAAATTCACATATTTGAAGTATGCAGTTTGATCAGTTTTGACTTGTGTGTAACCAATACAATCAATGTAAAAAGGATTTCCATTATTTTTTTTAATTTGAAATCATGCAAACTGTTTCCTGCATGATTTATTACATTAGAAATCAATCACCTTAAGATATATAGAACCCCACCCCCACATAAACTATTTCAAGATTAAATGGCACATTTATAAATATTTTAGAGGTCAAGGAAGAAAATAAATAAAAAGTGCTTTGAACTAAGTGATAACAAAAACTTAAAATATCAGGATCTCTGGGATGAAACAGTACTCAGATGCACATTTATAACTTAAAGTACTTGTATCAGAAAAAAGCTAAAATAACAAATTATTTTCAAATTGTGTGGGCAGGAAAAAATAAGAGTCGGAGCAGAAATATATGAAATAAAGAAATAATTCAATTAAAATTTGATAAAAATAAACAAGTCTAATCAAGAAAAAAGCAAGAACACAAAAATTAATATCAATGGAAAGGGAGCTATCAAAATAACCATACCAATGCTAAAATTACATTAAGGTAATATTACAATTGTATGCCAACATATGTGATAGCTTACATATCTATATTAGAGAAGGATCTGTGTGCTGCTGAGAAGCAAGCGTATTTAGTCACTGATGGATGAAATATTCTATATATGTTTGTTAAGTCTAAATTATCAATTGTATTTTTAAAAAAACTTTTTTTAGTTGTAATTGGACATAATACCTTTATTTACCTATTTATTTTTATGTGGTGCTGAGGATCAAACCCAGTGCCTCACACGTGCTAGGCAAATGCTCTACTGCTGAGCCACAACCCCAGCCCCATCAATTGTATTTTTTACTTCCATAGCTTCTTTATTTAGTTTTTGTTTGGAGGATTTATCCAGTGGTGACAGAGGCATGTTAAAGTTACCCAGTATTATTGTGTTGTACCCACATTTTCAACATTATTTATTTGTCCACTGGTATTTGTGATATTATCATCATTAATTTAAACATTATGAACTCCATAATTCATGATTATTTTTGCTTTAATTGGTCAATTATCTTCTGAAGATATTTAAATAGTAAAAAGTACTTTGTATTTAACCACGTAGTTACTATATCTGGTGTTCTTCATTCCTTGGGGTAGATCCAGAATTCCATCTGGTACTGCTTTCTTCTGCCTACATGATTTCCTTTAATATCTCTTGTAAAGTAAATCTCCTCTTGATAAATTCAGCATATAAAGCTTAAAGTCTTAATTATTTTTTAAAGCAGTGCTGGGACACTGAATTGCACCAAGTCCTGAAAGTCTTGATTTTACTTTCATTTTTGAAAGATATTTTGTTTGGCATAGAATTCTAGGTTCTTTTATTTTTTAACCTCTATTGTCTCCTGACTTAAATAATTTCCTATAAAAAGTCTGCTGTCAACTTTATCTTTGTTCCTCTTTATATAAAGTGTCTCCCTCACCCATTTTTTTTTTTTAACTTTATCATTGGTTGTAAGTTATTTCATTTTTATGTGACTGGGTATAGTTTTTTTTCCCCCAAGTTTCTTGTGCTTGGGTTTCACTGAATCTGAAGTTTATAGCTTTACTTACTTTAGAAAAACCTTCCTTTTACTTAACTATGTTTTTCTGCCCCTACCTCTCTCTCTCCTTTCCTCTGGGAGTTCCAATTGCACTTATATTTGTGCAATTTGGCTCCCTGAAGTCATTCCGCTCACTGCTATTTATTTTTTAAGTCTTTTCTTTCCTCTTTGTGTTTCATGTTAGTTTCTATTGTTTTCAAGTTCATAGTTTTCATCTCTTAAAGTTTGATTAGGACCTTTTTTAATGTTTTCCATCTCTCAATCCTTCTTCTGACTGAATTAAAGGTAGACAGGCACTCTCTCTGTACTACCTCTATAACTCTTCTATAAATCTAACATTTATTACAAAGACTTTTAAAAAGAAAGAAAATGCCAAGCAGTCAAACACACACAGGAGCCAGCTTAAGGGGCACTCACTGGTCAAATATGTGAGAACTGAGCATTAAAATAATTAAATACAGTAATGAGTTATAAATTATTAAAAACATAGAAATCAATTAGTCCACATTGATAGCAGAGAGACAGATAAAGAAGGAAGTTTCTTGATAGTAGAATGTCAAAGGCTGATAGAAGGAGGCTTTGGGAGTAGAAAAATCATTATTTTCCAACTATTATGGCAAAACTAGATTGGACAAGAATAATAAATGGATATCAAATCTAGGGAGAAATTCTGACAAGAAGAATATTTGCATTGACTTAAAAGTACCTTTCCACAGACTACCAATTAGTTGCAATGGAAGACAATAAAAAATAAATGACACAATGGAGAAATTAAACAACATCTTGACTGGTGATAAAATGAATGTCATCTTTGAGACACAAATGGATACTATATGCCTTCAAATGAGTACCCAGAAGAAAAGCAATTCATCTAAACAGTATTCTGGCCAGGAAGTCAAGATCCCAGTCTAATCACAAAGTGTATCAACTGAACAAAATGAGGAATGTTCTTTAAAAATAAAAATAAAAAGGTAAGGGGCATACTGTGTTCTAAAAAAAAAAAAAATCTATGTTACAAGAAAAGCAAAAAAGGGAAAACAAAAAGACTGCAGAGACATTTCAAATTAAAGAAGGCTAAAGAGATATAAAACCAAAAACTAATTCCTAGAGTAAAGGGGGAATAATGTAACTAGAACAACTGACAACAATGGAATATAGATGGTAAATTAGATTAAAATGGAGCATTGATATAAACTTATGAAGTAGATAAGTATGCAGGATTATGCACACTATGGGCTGTAGTTGAGGATGAAGGTGGGGAAAACACTAACAGTAAGTGAATCTGGGTAGAGTGCATAGCTATACTCTATTACGTTTATTTTGCAACTCTGTGTAAGCTTTATTTCCACATGCAGGTCATTACTGAAAAGCCATTCCAGAACATCCTGGATCCTATCCCCTTCACATAAATGGTTTCTCTCTCTTATCTCTCTTGTTCTTCTTCGCTAAATCATTCTGTTAAGCTTAAAAACATGTTCTTACATTTTAAAAAAACCAAACAAACAAAAAAGCAAATAAGGGCTGGGGTTATGGCTCAGTGGTAGAATGCTTGCCTAGTATGTGTGAGGCACTGGGTTTGATCCTCAGCATCACATAAAAATAAATGAATAAAATAAAGGTATGATGTCCATCTACAATTAAAAATATTAAAAAAAAAACAAATAAAATATCTACAGCTGTTCCAGACTTACTGAAAAACTTATCTATTTGTTGTCACTTTTTATCACTCTCCATTTATCCTCAACCCACTCTAGCCTGGCCTCCAGCTGTCACCACACGTTGAAATTCCTCTTGCTGATGTAACCAACACTTCCAGGTTACCACCTCCAACAGATACCCTTCAGTTCTTAAGCTACTTGACCTTTCAGTAGCATTTGGTAATGGTGACCATAGTCTCTCCACTAGAACAGCCACTTCCCTAGGTTTTGATCAAATACTGCTGATTTTCTTTCCACCCACTGCCATTCCTAAGTCACCTAGTCTCTTCCTCATCCTCTGAGTACTATTAGTTACAGTTCCTAAGGTTCTCAGTCCTCCCTCCCTCCCTCCCTCTCCCCCTCCCTCCCCCCCCTCTCTCTAGGGTGGTCTCATCCATTCCATAATTTAAAAACCATCTACATGCTGATGACTACCAAATTTATTTCTTTAATCCACAGTTGGACTTCTAGTCTCCCCCCACCCCAAACACTCTCCCCCAGTCTTCCCATTCAGAGTCACCTCCATTCACCCAGTTGCTCAAAAAATATTATGAGTGACATTTTTGTCTTTATGCTTTTCAATGGCTTAATTTTTCCTACTGTAAACACATCTTAGTTTTAAACTAATTAATCAAATCTAAAAACCCAAAACTTTCTTTTGAGTGATAGAAATAAAATAAAGATGTGCTTAACCAACACACAGTACCTGGTTTTTTTCTTGTTTTTAATTTTAGTTTTGTGAGTCACTAAATAAAGGTACTAAAACTAAAATTAACATTTATATTACCAGAAGTACTGGAATTTTTTGAAGACATCACAGAATCCGCTTCTATCTAGAAGAAAGGAGAAAATAATAACATGTAAGTTATCAAGTGTTTTAACAGAACAAGTTCTTAATCTTGGGGTAAGGGATTTATTTGATAAGAAACCATCTTTACTGAACCCAGCAGACAAGTCGCTCAGCAGCTATAATCGTTATTTTACTTTGCTGTCAACATCTATAAGCTAAAGATTTTATCGGACCTCAAAACTTTATAACATTGACCAATATGTGTAAAGCACATAAAGTCAATTTGGCTGTACCATATAGATTGCAAGCTGTAAGGCAACCTTTCTGCTTAAGACAAAAACAAGAAATTGTTACAATGGGCTCCATGGCTTTATTTTTATTTTTCCTGATTATAAAAGTAATCCCTGGTTGATATAGAAAATGAAAATTTTTTTAATTATGAAGAAGAAAAAAAATATTTTTTAATTCTTCAATGAAAACTACTTTTAGCATTTTGGTCTAGCCTAGATTTTTTTTTCTTAATCCCTATGTGATTTAAAACATTTGAGAACACACTGTGTAAAGTTTGAGAACCTGATTTCACCAGATATTAAAATGAAGCTTTTCCCCACATTGTTACAAGGGCTTTATAAACTTTTGGGGACTAGAACCCTGAGAGCATCTAACATACTTTCTTCTCCTTCAGTCTGGAATTCACCAGTCTTAGAGTACCTGCGTTTCCCTGGCTTCTCTCGGCCCTCCCAAATGGCTCCCACTCCATATTCTTCATGGAATCTCCTGCCTACCCTTACCTGTTGACATCCTCAGTGTTCTCTCCCCAGACCACTGCTCCTCAAACAAGATTTCTGCAAAATCGTCCTTGGTAATTCCATTCACCCTTGTGTTTTGAGCTACTTGTTATACACAAAGGAATCCAAAATCTATCTCTAGCCTTCACTTCTCCACCCAATTTCAGTTCCTATATCTAAGAGAGGTAGCAAAATCTGAGATATTTTCACCATCATAACTTCCACAGTCACACAGCATCTGATGAGTGAATGCAGCTGAAACTCCCACAGTCACCTGAAACTCGGCATGCCCTATAATGAACCAGCTCCCTGTGGACCTGCTCCATCTGAATTTTCTTACTTGGTGGCATCACAGTCCCTCTGGTCTTGATGATCACACCACTGTTTTACCACCACCATGTCCAGTCAAACACCAGGGCAAAATTCATCCCAACATCCCCAAAGTACTCCTACACCCTTCTCATCACAATAGCCTAGCTCCTCTAGTCAAAACGACACCCTGGCTCCTACTATAACTGCCTTTAGTTAGGCCCACCTTCTTTGTCACCTTCTCTTCCTGTTCTTAAATCTCTTCTCTATCTTGAAACCTATCAGAGTTTTATTTGCCTGTCTACACTCCACTGTAAACCACTTCAAGGTAGGGACTGTGTTTAACTCATCTTTACCTTCCCAGCCACTAGCAAGTGTTCCTTTTGTTAAACAGGTACACTTAATTTCATTCTGTAAACAACGGCAGAGTATATTCATTATTTACTATATAAGTGTTTTGTTTATTAAATATTATTGTATGTTATGGTTTTTTAAAATAACTTTTTCAAAATATACCTTTTTCCCGGGAGGGGTAGCACATGCCTATAAGCTCAGCTATTGGGGAAGCTGAGGTAAAGGACGTCCATTTCCAGGCCAACCTGGGCAATTTAGTGAGACCTTGTTTCAAAATACACAGAAGGCTAGGGGTATAACTCAGTGATAGGGTTCGCCTGTGTCCAATCCCCAGCACCACACACAAAAATATACTTTCTATTATAGGAATTTTACATATTATCTCATTTAATTTCCTGAACTAAAGTCAGTAAATATTTCATATGTTCAAAGTAATATCCAAAAATTAAACCCCAATTCTCAATCTAGTATAAAATTTAAAATTATTAAATTTCATGTAATGCCACCTATTTAATAAAAGTTCATTGTACAAATGTCTGGTAAATATATAGGTGATTTGATATGTTAGTACTTTACTGTTTGGTTTCCTGTAGTCAGCTAAATATTTCACTTGCCTAAAAAATAAAATCCAAAAGCTCAATTCAGAAGTAAAAATCTGTTCAATTTCATGGAGTATATATACAGTCTATTACCAAATCACTGTACCTGTCATCACATTCCTCATGAATTCTAAAGTTGAAATGAAAGAAGTAAATATTCTTGAGGGTGATAAAGGCAAAATGAGACAAGATAGCTTTCTAGTTGAATATAATGCTTTAAAGGCTGAGTCTTTTCAGCTGATCTGCTTTGAATTCCAGCTGAGATGACTGCAGGTTAGCAGGAGAGCTGCAATTTCAGAGAGCCAGCCCTGATGAGCTCAGTAACTGGCCTTTCAGGAACTAAGCATCTCCGAATAAGCACTCTGGGTTGCTCATGCAACCTGTCTGGGTCAATAGGACACATTTACTATGTTGTGAAGCATTTCAACACTCTGAAGGGTGCAGAAGTGGGACTTCACAGGTCCCTGGCTGCACTAGGCTTGCAATCTGACAGAGTAGTAAAGACCATGCATGCAGAACTGACTGCTGAGTTGTTTGGTCTAACAAGAGAATAAGGAAGGGCATTCCAGGCAGAGCTCTAAGTGGTCCTTTTGCAGTTTTATTTCTTGAATCTGGATAGCATCTTGACCCCAATGCTTAACAAGAAAGCATTCATCTCTAGAATGCAGGTAACAGGCAAGCAGAACAGCACAAAGACTGTGTGAACAGGAAACCTGTTCTGAAGTAGAAGGTTCATTGAGACTCAGCTCAATTCTCATTATTGGTGAATTGGTGCAATCTTTTCTGAAGAGCAATATCAAACAAAATTGCAAATGTACATATTGCAGAACCTAGCAGCTCTACTGCTAAGAATTACACATTCACAAGGACATAAATCTATGAGTTTGTGTGTTTATGTAGATATAAATGGATGCTTAATGCAACAATGTTTGTAGGAATGAAAAATAATGAAAACAAAAAAAAATGACCAAAGAGATCATTACACAATTATTATTTTGGTATCAGGGATTGAACTCAGGGAACTCAACCACTGAGCCACATCTCCAGCTCTATTTTGTATTTTATTTAGAGACAGGGTCTCACTGAGTTGCTTAGCACCTCGCTTTTGCTGAGGATGGCTTTGAACTTGAAATCCTTCTGCCTCAGCCTCCCTAGCTGCTGGGATGACAGGTGTGCGCCACTGCACTCGGCTATACAACTAATTTTTAAAATGAGGCAGTGGTGTGTGCTTTCAGGTTGATGTAAAAACATTAAAATAAAATAGGCATAGTATGTACCTAATGTTTTCAATGGAAGACTATGCATATAGTTCGTCATTTTGAAATTTTTGAAAAAAAAATTGAAATGATACATAAGAACCTGGTTAATAATGGTAAACCCTGAGAAGTTGAGACCCTCTAGTTGAAAGAGATTTTCTTTTTACTATGTGAATGTATAACTTTTATAATTTAAACAAAGCAAAAAAAGTTTTAATTTAATGTGAATAGACACTGCAGATAACCTCCTAGATGAATTCCTTCTGTTACCAACATCCTTCTCCCAGTCTTTCCTGTTGACATCTCACTAGCATCTCATATTTAATATAACTATTAGCAGCTTGGTGGAGATATATGTTTCGTGGGCTCCAATGAGACATCTCTAATTCATTCTTGAATTGGGTCCTTAAAAGGAAAGAGGAAAATTCAGCACTGGAGACACCTCTGAAACAGCTTATAAATCACCCATGCACTTTGTAAGATCCCAAGAAAACCCCTGGGCAATTTTCTTAGGATCCATTCATATTGCATCTCCCGCATCCCCCAAGTACACAAAGAAACTCTACCTTGGAGGGCTTGTACCCAAACAGCATTACAAAAGCAACCTTAAAGTCCTCTCTGCTTAGGTAGCCTTTGTTATCTTCATCGCATGCTTTAAATACCTAAAGAATATTAAATGGTTTCAGTTAGTAAAACAAACTGTTCCCTTATTTTCATTATTATCAAATTTGAACCTCTAAAATCTAAAACTTAGCCCAGTAGAGCTTAGAAATAGAGTGGTATTATCCCAACTTTAAATCTCAAGAAATCTGCCAGAAGTGCCAAGGTCTTAACCGCTGGGCTAACGCAAATTAGTTTTCACCTTTAGGATAAATTCTACCCACAATTCCGTCCTGGAAATTAGGAAAGCGAGGCAACGAGGCTGGGGGGGCTGGCTTTGAACTGGGAGAAATGCAAATTTGAAACTACGTAGCGGGGTACCGGGGTGGAGAAAGAACTTGGAAGCAGCCAAAACCAGGAGCAGGCAGCTCTGGGCTTTTCATTAATCACGACTGTTCTAAGGGTCGTCCAGGTCTCCTCTGAACAACCCGGCTGAGCCAGACGCCAGCACAGAGACTGAAATGCCCGGAGCCAAGCTGAAGTCCAAAACTTAAGAGTCACGTTCCCGACACCTACTTCCACAAACTTCTTGTGTTCCGCGGGGCTGGCTTCCCACGTCCGCCGCCGGGCCCCAGCCTCGGAGAAAAACATAGCGACAGCTACAACCAGTTCCGGACCACCTAGTCCAGAACCTCTCCCGCCAGAACCCGGCTCGCAGCCTCCCTCGGCCACGCCCACCGCGGCTCTGGAACTACGCCGTGCAACTCCAACGTCTCCTCCCATTGGACGGCCTCCGAGGCACTGGCGTTGATATCGCAATGCTATAGGCACAGGCTGTGTTTAACAACGTTTCCTTGGACCAGCCAGGGGCGGGGAGGCTCCCAGGCCCGCCCCACAGCGCTTAGCTCCGCCCCTGCTTAGTTCCCTTAACTCTCTGCAAGCGATGGGAGACCAGCGCGCCTAGAAGCTTTACCTACGAGCTCAAGTTCATGATTTCTTTCATTCTTTGCCAACTTTGCGATAAATTCCTTTTGATTATGTTGGTCCATGGCTTTGCTAGATTTCATAGAAGACACAAAGAGTATGAACAAAGCCTAGAAGTCGAGCCAAATCCAGGATTCACGTTTAAGTCAGCAAGTCATTGGGTTGAGCACGCAGGATAGTCAGTAAGTTTGTTTTGTCCTTCGAATAACTCCAGCATCTAGCACTGTGTCTGGAACAAAGGAGATCTTCAATAAACGAAAGAAGCCGTTAGCACATTTACACAGACTTATTCCATTCAACCCTCTGAAAGTGATGCCTGGTGTGAGGGAGACCCAAGGAGTAAATAGCATAAACAGCCTCAAGTCCAAATTACATAGCAAACATCCTTATAAAAGACGAACGTCGGGAGAGTTCCGTTTCCCAGATGGGTTCATCTCTGATCCCTCTATTTTGTCAAATCGATAAATTAAAAAGAACGTTCGCATGCCTGTTTGAAAGAAGCAGGCATTCGAGGTTCTGAGTCTGATGTGGACTTGTTTAACTTTTTATTTTACAGCAGGCTTTTTTAAAGACTGAGCCCCAGCCGAGCCCGCTCTTCCCGGGACACGGGTTTTCCATTTGGCAGCTGCTTTTAATCTCAGCTCATCTTCTCTCTCTCTCTCTCTCTCTCTCTCTCTCTCTCTCTCTCTCTCTCT